GGGACCCACATAGCTAGGCCCACCCTCAGGCCCGTGTCCTGTCCTGGCCATGGCCTGTCCCCATCCCCATGGAGGTGCCCGATGTCAGGGGCTGGAGCTGCCCCGGTGCCCCCAGCTGCCCTACTCATGGCTGGGTTGGTGGGACAGGCCCTGGCTGCCAGGCCTGGCCATCACCCACCCAGGGAGCCTCTGTCCCTCATCTCTCTTCAAACACACTAATGCTGTTTTTGGAAGGGCTGCTGACATTGTGGTGTATAGCGCATGATTTTATAATACCAGAGATGGGCAATAATGAATTGTACAACTTAATGACGATTGGATTTGCTGTTTTCATACTGTACCAGTTTATAGTCTTACTGCAAAAGCACATAAAAGACGCCCTTAAATTCTTCCCATGTGCTTTGCTGAAGTAATTCCTGTGTGTGTAGCATGGGTTGAACCAAATGTTTAAAACCCCGGTAAAATTTTTCCAGCATGTTGTTTTAAAGTGAAGCAATACTATCTATTGGAGATGAACACAAATTCTGTACATATATTCACTCTGGAAATAAAACAAAATAAATGCTTGCAGTACAAATACTTTGATCACAGCTTTTCCTTGCCTTTTCGTTCACATTGTGCTGAAGACACCCCAAATTAGCCATAATCTGGAGTAGTCTCCTCTGGCAGAACCCTCCAAAAGCCCTTGGCGCTTTTGGAGGGCTCTGCCAGAGGAGACTACTCCAGATTATGGCTAATTTGAAAATAAAAACAACAGCTCTCCTTTTAAAGTAATTATGTGTGTGACAACAAGCAGAATGTCAAATACAGGGAGCTAATGCTGCAGTCCTGCGTGCACTTTAAACGTCTCTTGCTGGAGGCGTGAAGCCTTCCCTGTTTTCAAGCAGCTGTATTTGAATGTTTTGGGCCAGGACAATTACTTAGTGGAGGTAGAAGAAAGACAGAGGCTGGACAGTTTTTATCTGAGCGTAAGTCATTAAAAGAAAACCAGATGGTTCACTTAACAGTGGTATTAAAGTGAAATGAGTAAAAATATGCCTAGGGCATAGTAAAAACTTTAATTTGTCGTTCATCCTCAGACTTAGCCAGTGATTGATGGATGATTTCACAAAAGTGTCCAGATTAGATTCTGAATGAATCAATTTACTGTAATATTAATACAGTGCAATTGCTGATGCATTTGCTTTTTATTGCATAGACTTACCTCTTCAGAATTGTGCTTACCTTTGGGGTATTGCTCAGTTCAGTCACCAGTTGAAATGAGTGCCATTGAGTAACACTAAGTTCCCATGGAAATATAAAATCTACCTTCATGTGGAGTCCTAAAAACCTTTGGCAGAAGTAACTTTGTCTTCAGGGATGGTAATATGATACAGCCCAGATGACATTAGCACCGTGTCCCAAGATGTTTTATTCTATCCCATGACTATCTGCCATGTCCAACTTTATGCAGAGGATAATGGACACTCTTGCAATGCGGGTTATCACACAGAATGAAGCTATAATATCTTGCATTGGCTAATATCGGTCCTGCTAATAGCATTTGCAGTATAATTTATACACATACCTCATCACAGCAAACTTCCTTTGCAATGAGGTTTCTGGGTAGGGAGAAATAATTTCAACTTAAAAGGAAAGGAAGGGTTGGTTTTAGTACTCATTTCAACCTCATAATCTTACAATGGTGTTAAGTTTTATATATAAAAGCATCAACTGTATTTTTAAGTGCATCTCTCCTCCAGGCCCTTCTTTTGGCCTCAACTTGCACTATTTTTTTCTCCTTTAATTTTATTCCCAAAGTATTTTTTTTAACCTGGTTACAGTAGCAATTTCCCCCTTCATATAGGTCACACAGACAAAATATTGCTTCCAAGATAAACTGACGCTTAAGAAAGAAATAAAACAGATGATTGTCTTTGCCTGGCTAAAACTTTTCTGCCAAGCAAACAGTCAAGGACAAATAACATAATCTAAAATAACAAATAGTTTTTTCAGATATTTTCCTCAGAAGTGACTGATACAAATTTATCACCTATGAGAAAATTTTCTAGAGATCTGCTTGCTCTTTCTAATATAGAAAACATTGTGGTTTTTTTTTCTGAAAAGAAGAGAAGAAAATCCAAACTATTTTGGCCCAGCTATTAAGAAGTTGATGCTGGTGTTGTGATATAGGCCTATCCCAGAAAAGCCCTGATGGCAAGCAGTTAGAGAGATATCCTAGTTTACTGAAATCAAAGATTGTAATCATACATTTTGACACCCTTTGTGAACCAGGTTGGTGACACACTGTAAGTTTGCTGTTGGTTTGAAGACCAAACACTCAGCCAGCCTTAGCTGTACGTAACATATACCAGTACATAGAACATGACCTCCCCCAGGTCTTGCTCTCACAGTAAATAATCCACATACAGTTTGGCCAACTGAACACTTAGTTTGTTCTGTCATGTCTTAGAAAAGCTGTAAAACTAAAGGTATTGAAGTTGGAAAGGATCTTGTCAGAAGGAATGTTTATTTTCAAACGTTAGTGCTTTTGCTGAAAGGCTAGAGATTGAACCTTGGATGAAGATCACATCATTCTCAATATTGATGAGTCATTACACTGAGATATGTCATGATATCCAAAGTCACAGCTGATCTTACACAGGTGGATTATTTGTGGAGGAGGAATGGAAATTTTATAAACCATGGACCTGAAAAAATCACACAAGTTTCTATTTTTAGCTCTTTAGATGGTTTGGGCTAGGTAAAGAATATTATGGAAGACAATTCCCAGTGGTTCCAACACCTTTTCTAGCTTGACCTTTTTGCTACCTTGTTCATTGAAACCAGGTTTAATTAAAATGATGATAAAAATGAGTTTGGGAGTTCAGCCTGTAACAAGTCTCACAACAGCACTATTCTATGATTCATATGAATTAATGATGGTCTGTTACCAAGGGCTGTTTTTGTCCCAGTGTGATACAGACAAAGTTAAAGATGTTTTCAAGGAAAACAAAAGTTGAATTTCTGATGTGAAACAATAATAAAAAATAGTTTTAAAGACAAAATTCTTCTCTTGCCTTTTCTGTTTCAAGTTGCCTTTGAGGAAAATTATACTCAAATATCCTACTGAAATTACTTCCCACAGTAGAATTCTAGTCTGATTTCTTAACAAGCAGGTCTAACAAATATTCGTCAGAGGCTGAGGTTATATCCAGTAAATCATATAATTCCTCACGGCCCTATGGCCAAGTGTATTGGCCAACTGAATGGGACTCAGGACACCTGAATGCTATTACAGGTTCCAAGATCAGTTTTCTGAGAAACTCAAGTTTCTATGCTTTGTTATCCAAAACCAGAGCAAATGGTATTGACTGCTTTTGTGAGGGGTTTTGAAATCTGCTTATGAAAAATGCTGCATACAGGCTACTTATTGATATTTTTATTATCAAGAGAAAAGGCTCTGTGCAATATTACGTGGAATGTCCATTTTCTCCCTGAAGGAGAAAATTAAGAAGAGTGCCTCAGCACATCTCCTAATGATTAAACATGATACAGCTCTGGTATTTTGTATTTTTGGACTTTTTTGGAATGTGTGGTGACAAAGAGTTTTGCCCTTAAAGGCAGACTTGTTGCATGGAGCATGCTTTCTGTAGGGATCATAGGCATAAGTGCACCTGGTGGAGCACTGTCCCACCAACTGGGTTGTCGGTAGGCTGATCTGGGCAGAAAGTTGGAGGAAGCCCAAAACATTGACCATATGATCGTGCTGGAGTCTGCCCTTCCAGCATAGTAGGGGCATAACAAGGTATTCGTAAAGTCTATGTGAAGGTTTTCGACATTCTTTCAACCTATAAATCTTTCTCTTCTACAAAGCATGCCATCCAGCAATGCTAAGTACTTTGCCACATAGTCAACTAGGCTGTTTTTTTTTTTTTCTAACGTGTATGCAGGAGAAGAGAAACAAAGAGCTGGTTGAGAGAGTCCAGCTCTCCTGACTCATAAACATGTCTTTTCTGTGAAATCAACAATTTCCAGCAGTATGCTACCTGATAGATTCTTTTTTTCCCCCTGAATTTCATCACCTATGCCTTGACTTTAAAAGCAATTTTAGTGTTTCTTTTTTTGAATTTTTATTTTCGCTAATGTAACAAAAAAATAAATTGTAGTTTATTAGCCTTGAATTTAAGGCCAGGAGGGATAAATAAGCCTTTGATAGGAACAGCCATGAGAGTACGATTTAATCGGTCATACCTTGTGTGTGGGATAAGAACCATTTCAAGAGATGTGGAAATCTCCTGGGAAAAACAGATGATTGTTTGGACATCTCATGCTTTGTATGCTAATTACCATCACTCTTTTCTTTCCCCTGCCCCGGCCACATTTCAGCTTAGTCCATGTCCCTTTGGATAAGGCAACTGATCTCTTCATTGACAGTGCTGGAATGGTCTCGTATGCCTGCCTGCCTCTGCTCTTAGTTTGCAACATCTGTGAATGCGTGTATTTATCTGCTATTCGTGTACGTATTTAGTATGTTATTATGTTGTGCTCTGTGTGGTATATTACATAATGCCCATGGGGCATAGGAGCAGCGTATCCAAAATTTAAAGTCACAGAGTGGCTGGCCCGGCCTCTTTTTAATTCGTTGATTAGTGCAATTCCTGAATGCAGTGCTTTTTCTACTATAGGATCTCACTGTCCTATGTATTCCTAGGATTCCACCTAAGCCAATCTCACTGATGTATGCTTAGCTTGGGAAAGTGATCTGCAGCAATGGTTCACGGATTTCCTGAGGCAATTTCTCACAATATTGCAGCCCATTTCAATTCCAACATCAAGACACAACTCTATCAATTTACTGCTTCTACTGTGGTATCATCTCATTTCCCAAAAGCAGTGTGCAGCCTTTTGGCTGGGTATTAAGAATAGTAGAGCATGTATCGTGGTATCAGTTAAAGTATCTAGAATTGTGTCCTGATTATTTTCCTTTCTTTTTTTTTTTATTCCCGTTTCACCACCAGCTGCATTCAGACCAGGATAAAGGTGATGGATCACTTAAGTACATCCTTTCTGGAGATGGAGCAGGAGACCTCTTCATTATCAATGAAAACACGGGTGACATCCAGGCCACAAAGAGACTAGACAGGGAAGAAAAGCCTGTGTACATACTCCGTGCCCAGGCTATAAACAGAAGGACTGGAAGACCGGTGGAACCAGAATCAGAGTTCATCATTAAGATCCATGATATCAATGACAATGAACCAATGTTTACAAAGGACGTTTACAATGCCAGCATTCCCGAAATGTCAGATGTCGGTAGGTGCTAACCAATAATTGATTTCAGTGTCTGGTCTGTGTTCTTTCTGTGGACTCAATGAAGGGCCCAAAGTTTACAGGCACCAAATACAGACATCCGCTGTTTGAGCCTGGAATAAAAGCACCTCAGCCATTTAAAAAAAAATCTAACTCCAGGAAAACAGTGGCAACAGTTTGCTGGAATTAGAGGTGTCAGCTGAGTGAAACCCACTCCCTCGGTTGTACCACAAAAAATGCAAGTTAATACAATCTAGTTTAGCTCACAGTGAAAGTGAGCTGAGCTAAGCTGTGTTACATGACACCTGCAAAGAGTTTAATACACTTTGTTAACATGATTTAGTAGCAGTGTAATAATATGGTAAACTGTGGTCACTTAGTTATGTCCATAGCACGCCTAGATCTGTTCAGCAACCCTTCCTTAGTTCAAGAGGGTAAAAAAAAATGGAAAAGGGCAGGTGCAGAAGTGGTCGTACAAGCTTCAGGAGCAAAAACTGTCACCTAAGTCAACTCGTCACTGATTCTGAGATATGCCATTAACTTCCTATGACCTTTATTGCTCTTTTCATGAAAATGAAAAAAGCTCCAAAGTCCATTGAAGTCCATTGAAATCTTTCTATTGATTTAAAATGTATCAAGCTGTAAGAATCAATCAAGAAAAGAAAAGAAAACAGCTTCCTTGAAATATGATTTTAAGACTGGATCTTTTCCAGGGAAGTTGACAGGTTTTGATTCTTTGTCTCTGATTCTTAGGGAGGTCATTTTGATTTCTTTGTCAGAGAGCGATAGATGGTTAAACTGCAAGAAGAACATTTCTAATCTGAAATAATATCCAGGGAGAGAAGCATTAATTAATCATAATCAAGAATGAGATTAAAATAAAGCTCAAGCAATATGAAAATAAAGACTTTGGGGCATACTCTCCTCTCATTCATGGGACTTGTCACATGGATGAAACCTCATCTGGTGAAGACAGAATCTAATATTCACATTTTAATATGTGAAGTGAATACTTTATTCACAAATCTGGTTTAAATGCCAAAACCTAAGCTCATTTTTTTT